TTTCATTTCACACACTGGAAAAAAGAGGAGATGAAATGCCCTATCCCTAATCTATGCAAGAGCAAAGAACATTAAAAAAAAAAAAAAAACCCACAAAACCAAAAAGCAAGAGGAAAGCCTGAAGACCTGCCATGTTGTTATTCCTTACAATCCATTTCTGAACCATAAACATTCATATGCCCTTTCAAGCTATGTGAGTCATTGGTTTCATATAAATCCATTGTAGGTTCAGTCAAAGCACTGGTTAAGATTGAAGACTGAAGGATTCCATGTCCAAAGGCCAAATCTTCTGTTTTGCTGAGAAAAGAGAAACATGTTGAAAAATAAGTCAAAACATGAGCTGCATGATGCCCCATGCGTGAGGCAGTCACAAACTTTGCAAGCCAAAATTGCAACTGGCGACGCTAGTGAGGTCCTTGGTAAGCATCATGCAGCTCTGAAGGACACCCGACTTCGAGCCCTTAAATCATTACCCACAAACACTAACAAGACAGGGTTTTCTACAGATTTGTCTTGCAGCCGATTGCTGAGATGAGCTTTAGCTAAAGTACATTAGGACATATCCAGTCACCAAGCTTTTTTGTGTATCAGTTTTCCACTGTTTAACAAGGAGTCTATCGTACGCCTCAGTCTTTATCTGCTCTATGATTTACCTCAAAAATATACCTGTTATTTACAAACACCACCCCTCTGAAACAGACCTTTACTGTGGGCCTGCTCCAGAGACAGAACCAGTTTACTTGAAATCTTTGATTCCCTGAAGAGCAGCAATGCAGGACTCTGATGCAACATCTGTCCTGCACTCTCTGCAATGGCCGTGCAAACATTACGAGCAGCAACACACTGAAGTCAAGTCAAATGGCGAGGCCCTAACTGCCTCAGGTGAGCTTAGACTTTTTAGGAGGACACTGTTGGAGTGAAACATTAGTGTTTTTTTTATATGTCTATCAGCTAACCAAAATAGCCACTTTCAGTTGAAAGCATGTTCATTAACAATACATGCGATTAGATTTCCACATTTCGCTTTAAAGATATTTGATATTAATATGGATGTATGGATCCCCTAAAAATGTACGATCCAGGTCACACTCAAAAGTTGTTTACAGTCTTCATTTTCATTGCCTTGCTGGTGCTTTTTACAAATGCACAAGTACACTTGAGACCCTCAGAAATCAGCACAGAGTTGTACTTCTTATTCGTCTGCACTGGTGTGTGGGAAACTTGCTCTTTGACACTGGCACGTTCCAAGTCTGTCACAGCCTACTGACCACCACAGGACACCTCATTCGCACTTGACCTCACAGGGGCACCTTGACACTTTGCTATTCTGTCTGCTGGTCATGCTGTACAAACTGGTAATTCACTGCCATCTCCTGGCAAACTACTATTCAGGAGTATCTGTACAGACTGAAACAAAGCATTGACATAGATGCTACCTAGTATCAGCCCTATTAGAGAGAAATTACACTTAAACCTACAAGAACACTTGATACAAAAGTGGTGGCAAGAGAAGCACCCAAAAGTTCTGCAAGGACCCCACAGACTCTTTGCTGCTTTCCCTCCCTCCCAAAATTGACCAACATTTCTACAGAGCTTCAGGCTCACTCCTGAAGAGCGTTTCCAATTTACACAGGAACTCGGTGAGAATGGCAGCTCACAACAGGGATATTACGTCCACACCTGAATATGCAACAGAAGAAGTGGTATCCAACCAGCACCCCATCTTAAAGCTTTTCCATTAGAAAAAAATAACGGAAGACTTAAAAACCTGAAACTGGAGTAGTTTAAACAACAGTTGCTATAAGTGATTTTACTCATTTGCCTACAGCAAAGTGGTGTTTTTCTGCTACTTTAGGGGAAGCCAGGACCTGAAAAATTCACACAAACACTTCTACAGAATGTGATGTGCTTTCTCCAAAAGGAAATTCAATATTCTCCAGACTACTTCCAGAGAAATGAAGGGACTGAAAATAATTCTAAGCAAAACTGCCTCAATAAAATAGGATGATTGTGAGTACACATAAGCTTGCCTAATTTAGGCAGAGAGAATGAAACCACATAAGGGACCACCGATTAAATTACCTTATAAAATGAAGCCGGTAGCCGTCCAGGTGGTATTTAAGCACTGCCGTAAAGCCATCTTCACACTATTAGCTTTTTGCAACTTGGAACTAGGTCAATTCATATGAACAAAACAAATACTGAGTCTCTCCCATTCTTTTGCCCTGGGACTGCCAAATCAGGCTGATGTAAGAAACCTTCTCACTCTTTAAGTGCTACTTTTTAACTATTCCATTTACATATCTATGAATAATTGGACTAGATCCAAGTCCAACTTTTTATTTATTATGCAAAATTCACACCCAACACTCAGTTTTGAAATCCACCACAAATTCTGAAGTTTCTGAAGAACTTCTGATCTCTCCATAGATTTAAGCAATACAGGAACTTAGTGTAGTTACTAAGACGGCAAAGCTTAATGCTGACACAAACATTATTTACTTTCCTCATCTTCTCAAGCCACTGTAACACAGACTTAAAGGTGCTATACAGATGAAAAACTTCTTATTCCACTGTCATCATTATAGAGCTGGATTGACCAACACCAGTAACAGCTACTACCTGACTCATTAGACTTCCTTGGCTGATTTGTCTAGCAGCCCTGACAAATATACCAACTTTTTCTCCGTTTCTTCAAAGCAGTAAGGAACCACATTATTAAGTGGAAACACCTTTTATTGCCACTGCCATTCCTTTTCATCTAGCACTTTGAAGGGATCAGCTTTCTTCAAACATTTTAAAGCTTCAATAATTTTGCCACTTCTGTTAACTACTGCTTGTTTTGCTTTTTACTTACTGTGGAATTAGCAGAGGGAAAGGATCTCCCTGTGCCTTTAAAACTATATGACTGCTGAAAAGCTATGTTAGAATGTGTTTAGTATTTGGCTTTGTTAATTGACAATTTGTGACCACTGTGGGTGTCAAATCGCACCACCTCAACAGTGAACCTCTTCAAAAAGAAGATAACTGAAATCAAATGCAAGTTCAGCTGAGGTCCTGGTAGAGAGGAAGGAGTTCTCAGTTCTGTTTCACTACAAGTTTATTCACTTAGCATTTCAATTTGTACCTGGGCTCCTCCGACACCCTTTTCAAGACAAGCAATCTCCAGAAGTAATAGGTATTTAAGTTCAGTTCGCCCTATATTTAAAGCAGGACCTACTGCTACTGGCAGACCACAGACACAGCTGGAAAAGTCTATAATCAGTTCTGCCTCTTAAAAAATGGTCCAAGTCCAAAAGACACACAGCTACAGAACTTGTCTCCTTCCATTTCAACAGCAGGAGAACCAGATAAGGCAATATGAAACGTGATCAAATGAGCAGTAGAACAGGCATGATGAGTAAGCATTTAAATCTTTTGCCAGCTTTAAAACTACTGGCTACATTTCCCCCACCCCTCAGACTCTCCTCCCCTTACCTGAACTTGCTCACAAATTGGTGGTATAATGCAGGTACTTGTCCATAGTAGGCTGGCAATGGTGGTTTCAAAGTCAACTCTGTTGCTATTCTCAAAGTCTGTAATTTCTTCACTGAAAATCCGTAAGGAAAACTCTGGAATCAACTAAGCACGACGTTTTAAGAACAAGATGTGCCAATTATACTTTAAAAGCTTAAATAACTTACAGAAGCTGCTCAATGCAAGTATTTATTCATACCCAATATGTAATTAACTAGTTACAAAGCAAGATCTTTCATGCTACTAAGTGTTGCTACTTACACTCAGGAGTGTATTGAATGCTACTCATTTGAGGCCTAGATGAAAATTTTTTGGCTCTCTCTCTGTAATCAGATGCAATATAACTAGGGGCAATACAAGTTTTATATCCCAGATAATCCTCAAATCAGTATTTAACATAAATAATTTAGTCTCAAATGTATGTTCAAGGATGAAGTCCTGACACCATCAAGGAATCGCTTTACCTTGCAATTCAATAAAATGAGTACCACTTTATGACACAGGAAAGCAAACTTCTGCACAAACCTAGCACCATCACGTATAGTGTTTAAGAAAAAATGTAAGGTCAATTAGAACTAGACTGAACTGATTTTATTTCCTTCCAAAAAGAATAGACACTAATTTAACTGTATACAGAATTTAATTTAACTATAACTATACAAGTTTCAGTATATTGTCCTATTCAAGAACTTATATATAAAAAAAAACATACTGCCAAAATTCTAATGTGTATTTTACAATTAAATGCCCCATCTTTCTTTCTACCCCTAATAACCTCAGACTAGAGCTGCAGTGTTCAGATTAACTTATATATGGATAAAAATTCCCTTGCTCTTAAGAGTAGTTTCATTATTACCCATGTTTTTTCCACTACTACCAAAACTGGACTGAAAAGTAAGTTTTACGGTATTAGCAATAAAAAAATTGATGAACCTTGTAAGAACAGAATTCAGAAAAAAGATTAACAACAGCTTTTACTATATTAAATTATGTCACATCCCTCTAAAAAATAATACTTATGCATTTCTTTTTATTAATCTGTCACATTTTACTATAGTATCTGCAAATTTCTTACTCTGAATGCTTGAGCAAATGAGTAGTAACCACTTTTAGTTAGACCATCAAAACTCCATCAAGTTCTCTGAGAACTCCGAGTTCCTGTTTTGAAGTGAAAGGTGTCCAGCGAGGTTCCAAGAATTTTCATCATTATACTCAGTCAACCAAGTTAGCCAAAAGAAAAAGCCAATGTTCTTTTTTTCTGGTATGACCACCCAAACCCTGCCGTTCCCCACTCTCTATTGTTATTGCATTTAAACCTCCAAGATTCCTTACCTCAACTAAACAAAGGTGCCCATTTAGTTATTTACTGTACTGTTTTACCTAGTTGCTGTCCAGGCACACTGAAACCTCCCCACTACACTGCCAAGTCTCCAAATCCACCGTTCCAGTTAATGGAAGTCTAGGTCACTCAAAAACAGAATTACAGTCACCAATTCTGTTTGGTTATACCACCTGATGTGGCAGTATGTAATTTCATCACAAATCACTGTAATTGAATGCAAAGTAAAGGAAATTTGAGTTTATTTAGCTTCCAATTTCTGGGCGGTCAAGAGGAACTAGGACTGCTCTGGACAACAAAAGAAAATAGACTGTGCTTACAGATCATTTTCTGCCATATTCTTTCTTTAGGACCACTGTTTTATTGTTGCCCTTTCTATTACATGGGATGTACATATTATCAGGTGTTAATAAAAAGTCAGTGCCTGTACAATACATTCTACAACTGAGCACCACTTTCCGTAACTGAACAGGCAAAGAAATTACACTGAACATCAGCATCTGGCAGTATTTCTCCAAAAAAAGTGACTAAAATGGGTTTAAATTGATTAACACTATTAAATCACATCTAATATTTGATACTACGTGATTTCATTACAGCTATACGATACAATTATACAAAATGTGTTAACATCAAAGAATACAACCAAAATTAAGATAGCAAACAAAACCTATATAACTTTTTTTTCTTTACAGGAAAATACTTTTGAAGTATGCATGTAACTGCCCATTCTTTTAAAGAAAATCTACCGCAAGCAAGTTATCAACCTCCAGAAAAATCACACATAGCATTACTACGCATATCCCCAAAAAGTGTACAATATGCACACTTGGAAAATACAAAATTAAAAAAATCGTAAGCAACAGGTGAGCTTCATATTTATAAGAATGTGAAAAGAAGTCCAATTTTAGCACTGTTGTATAAAGAATTGTCTTTTCTGATGCAAGTTCATGAACTAACCCCTTCAGTTGGGGCCACACTTTACAAAACACCGTATTCTTGAAACGGGATTACAGAGCAAGGTAGAGCATCTTAGCCAACGTCACCTTACAGTTTTTTTCTGGGTTTTTTTTTCTTTTTATTTACTACTTATCAAAACACGTCCTTTAGGTTTGTAGGGTTCTTTTTTTAAAATTCTTTCCTAGAAACAATATACAAAGGGGAGGCATATTTATTTCCAATTCATACTCCTGTAAGATGCTTTGAGTTCAAGAACTTTCTCCTCCAACTTTCACTGGTTGTTTTTGGCCTTAGCGTGTGTTAAGATGTGAGATTTCAGGTTAGTTGATTGCGCAAACTTCTTATTGCAGCCGTCAAATGGGCAAACATAGGGCCGGTCACCAGTATGAATTCGCACATGTGTGCGTAAATTGAAGTCCAGTGAAAAACGCTTTCCACATCCTTCAAATGTACACTGTTGAAAGGAAAAAGACATACTCCATTAGCTAACAAAAGTAGTACTCATTTCAACCATTGATTAGAACAGTATTCTTTAAATCACTACACTGCACAAACATGAAGCTAGATGCTGAAGATTATTCTAGGTGAAGCTGTGGGCATCACTTTTAAACTGTATTTAAAAATTCAAATGAATACTTCAGGTTGTTTTACCATAGTAGTGTATCTATCTTCAAAGAGGGAAATAACTTCCAGCTTGCAACCAAATGCTTTCAGTAAAAACACCTTCTCTGCATATGAAACACTGTTTTGCTATGCTGTACTAGAAAACAGAAACAGTGTTTCACATCAGAATTGCCCTCTTTTTGGTGATAATTTGCAAAGATTTTCTCATTGTGCCAGCTTTACTTTTAAGATGGGCTCAGAATACAAAAGGCAGCACGTTTAGCGGCAAATACTTATAATTAAAACACAGCAGCTCCAGCATACACATCTAAGTGAATGCCTGAGGATTGTAAATCAGGTTTCTGAAATATTTAAAACAAAAAAGAAAAAATTTGACAAAAATACAGATCTTAAACGTGTACTGGAGAACAGATATGCTCAAGACTATGAATACCTGTAAAGAAGATTTATAAGCAGAATCATATGAAGCAGACAGGGGACCTCTGGTGGCAGAAGCTCACGTGACTTGATATGAATGGAAAAAGATTCAGTGACTACCATCATTTTGCTGGAAACTGATTAATACTTCTACTGAAAATTAGTATCATGAGTCAACTGAGCAAACAGCCCCAAATCTCAGTTGTCCACAAGTGCTAAGTTGAAAAGATGAGGAGGACAAAGAGACATTTTCTTCATTCAGTAGTAACTGTAGAATTCATTTCTAAAGTGGGTAACTTTACATTATATTTTGGAAAGCATCTCCCATGTACATACAATTTGCTAACTGTAAATTGTAAAAATCCACGGAATTAAACGATAGCCTAATTAGCTTAAGGGGACTTCCAATTTTTAAGGTGGTCATTCAGTGCCTCATCTGCTTTTAGAAAAAAAGCATAGTATCCTCTAAGTCATATAGAAGCTAGGTTACAGTTACAGTCTACACGTTTACCAAATAAACAGTGGTACTTATGCCTGGAGGTTAACAATACCTGAAAAGGTTTCTCTCCGGTATGAACTAGCTGATGTCGCTTTAGTTTTGAGCTCTCCACAAAGGCCTTGCCACATTCTGCACATACGTGTACTCGAGGGCCATGAGTGTGCAGATGCTTCCTCATGGCAGAGTTGTCCCTGAACATCTTTGTGCAGCCCTTAAAAAGAACAGTGAAACTCAATTAGTAGATAAGCTAGTTCTGACAAAGAAGGCTTTATCTGCTACAGTACAAGCATTTAAAATGCTTTTATGTCCTGAACACTTTCTTAAAAATTGGCCCTGGAAAGGAGATCCCTTACATTTATTTAAAAAAAAGCAATACCAAGAAAACTGATCATTTGAAAAGCTGGGGGGAAAACAAAAAACCCACCCCAAACAAAAAACCCCCAAACCCTCTCCTGACTTAGTATTATGAACCATGTGCAGTCAAATGAGTAACAGAACAGTCTCATGGAGAAGATGCAGCTCTGATAGAAGCAAATGAAAAAAACCAAACAAAAGCACTTAACAGTTTCAGGGCAAAAAAACTCAAAAGAAAGAATGACAGTTGGTGGACACCTACGGTATATTCCTCAATGTGCAATATTCTGAGCGCTACAGTACTATAATGTACAATATAGTCACTAATATATCTCAGATTACTCCCTAGTACCAATTTGTATGTGCACCACTCCATCTCCCAGCATTCTGTCCTCTTCCTTCTCATTCCTGAGAAGGAATGGAGCAAGAGGGTTTCCAGCACGTAACAGCTTACAGAAACCGCCTTGTCCAAACTGGCAGCAGCAGATTGATCACTACCACCTTGAGATACAAAGAGACTGCCACTGCTTCTACAGTTTAAACCTACAAAGTGATACTGGGCAACTGAGTAAGGTAGGAGAATCTCTGAGACAGTGTCAACTCAACCTAAAAGCAAAAGATACTCATATTAACTCAGGGACAGCATCAGAAGTCTTAATCTGGAGTCCATGCTGCATAGACATAGGAATACTACTTTTGATTCCAGAGTACACTTAAGCCAGCAGTGACTTGGGGCTGTCTACCCAGTCTTTCTAGAACTTTTTTTACCTTTTAGCGACAATCAATAGACATCTACCTAATGTTTTATAAATGTCTTTGTCAAGGTTCAAAATCCCTCACTAAATCCTATTAACTGTAAATTCTATCTGTACTCCAAGTGATGCTGTTTAAACTTACATAAAACTAGTCTACCAACATCACTGCATTATGAGGCATAAAATTCAACAACAGAACCTAAAGGAACAATCAATTGCTAATCTTAAATTCCACAGGCCTCCTCTTTGGAAATTATTTGTTTAAAAACTAATAACCACATTTAAATATGTCTTATTTCTTAAAAAAAAAGGGGAAATGCCACTTTCAAGAAGAGTTCTCTGTTCAGGCACTAGAATTTCTTCGCCTGATTTAAGAAGTGTTGTGCCACCATTCAATGCATGTAACAGAACTGGGTGGGGCAAAGCAGCACCAAAATAAACATACCATCAACTTTTTTTGCATTTATTTCAAAGCTCCTGCTTGCCTCTGAGAGGAGCAGTTACATCTTCTACAGTATTTTTCTTTTTTTAAACTGAAGTCATAAATGCACAAAGCCTAGAAACACTAGAAGACAGAAAATGGAAGGACAGAATATTCCTTTTTTTTTTTCCCCCCTGTTTAGATGAAGTTGAGGCTATGAAAAAGTAAATCAAAGAAATGAAGGCAGCATTCCTCAGTATTGTAAGGTGTAAATGTTTCTGTATCTCCACATACTGTACTATAATAAAAACATGACATTTGTACAACGTGAAGAACTGGAAATCAATATAGGCACAAAGAGGAATCCCGCAAATTCCTTAGACTAAGGCTGTCAGAAAGAAGCCTTCTATTCACACTCTCTAATGTGTACCATTAGCTATCTGCCCTGATTATTTGCTTAGGCTCACACTTATCTAGACCAGAAGTCAGCAAGATTGTATTTGTCTTTTTTCATTACAGACTCAGTCGGCTAACAGAAGCTCTACAAAAGCTGGATAATGCAGTAAAGCTAGATGCTACCAATCTAGGTGACTGGCAAGATTTATTCAAGACAGAGGCTTCCCCGCTACCAGTGGATCAGAATCGTATATCCAAGATGCCTCTCTCTCTGTTTCAAGATGATGCACCTTCCAGCTCTGTGGCATTTAATTCAAAGTCTTTCAATAATGCTGACTTTGGCATCTGTACCATACATTGCTGATTCCTGATCTAGACTCCAAATCTGTCATAGTTTCCAAGCAGAGGATATACAGATCTTAGGAACGTACTTTGAACAGCTTTCAGAACATTCTTTCAAGTATGTAATCTTGGGTGGCAGGAAATCACAACAGTAAAACCAGCATGTTAGGGACTGTGCATCATGGTTACCAGAAGATTAGGGATGCACTAACCTTAAGACAAGGAATGGGAATAATATATTATTCAGTGAAAGGTTTTTAAGGAAGCTTTAAAGAATGATTACTAAAATACAGTTAACTGAGTGTAGTCTATTAACAGTAAGATCTTTTAGTTACTCATTCTCAGGAGAAAACATCAATACAAAATTCTGGTCTACAAATTACTACCTACTCAGAAGCTGAGCACTTCACTTACTTTGTGAGGACAAGCTATCGTCCGTGGAGCATCATCTTCTTTAATTTTTCTTGGTTTCATTCTTAAAGATAAGATTAAAAAAAAAAAAAAAACAAACCACACCACATTAGTAGAAAAACATTAGACAGCTCTTCTCCCATAACTGCCCACATAATGCACACATTTATTCGATAGTATTACGTGCATCAGTAGTACTTGGTTTAGTATTTTCAAAACCTTCATAATAGTATTAACAGTACAGTTTGGCATTTGGGAAGTCCAGCTTTTCCAGAAGGACCCCTCAAATACAGAAAAAGACATTTAATACTACCTTACTAGTCCACTGAATATGTGGAAATAGAGGAGTTTTTTCCTGACTTATACCAGTTGTAATTAGGAAGTTTTGTTCGAAAAATACGTTTTTGTTGTGCCAGTACCGATGTGGCCTATTTAGCTTCACTTCTTCTGCATCCCTGCACCCGGACACGAAGGACAAAGTAGCCTCAATCATTCTTCAGTGTTTTCACCACACAAGACTTCAGAAGAAAACACTACAGAAGCAGGGAAGGCAGGCAAGTTGTGGAATCTACACAGACAATGTAGCCATCCATTATAACCACAGAAACTGCAATTATTCTTACTTTAAGCTACTGTACACATGGATTCCACTCTTGGCAACTGACAAGCAATCATCTATTTACTCTTGGTCGCTGGTAGGGATCTTCACCACTACTTTATGGGCACCATTAGTCTCCACTGACTACATAAGGAGCCCAGCAAACTATTGCTTGTGTGTGTTAGGTGTTTCAAACACAGTTAAGACTCCCTTGTAGACAACAATGCTAGAACAGTCCTGCTGTAACAACCACCTGCCTGAATGTCAGAGAAGTGTCAGCTGTGTGGACACTATTCCAGGGAAGTGCACTGCCCTTTTACCTATCTTTATTTCTCAAACCTGTAGTGCTGCCTTCAAGAAATCCAAGAGAAATAGCTTATCTCCACCTTATGGTGGAGGTAGGTAGGTATAAATAAATGCACCTCATGCAGCTGGGGATTCACCTAGATAAGTAATGAAATTTTGCACATTCCAAAACCTTGCTGTAGAAGGGGAGCTAGTCTGTTTATGTGAGTTCCTGATGATTTTTCCTGGTAATACAGTACAAGATAGTTCTGTATGATAAGGTAGCTACATATCATATCTGCAAGTTAAGCAAAAGGTTTTCTGGTGTTCTCTCCAGTCTCAATTAAACAGAGATGAGTGGCTTGAATTTTACAAAAGAATTAGAATTATCAGAATCAATACTGTTAACACTAAGAAGAGGAGTCGTCTGTTGCTATCCAAGACCACTTTAATCCCCGTGAATTCAGTTCCTGGAAACAGATACGGAAGAACAGGATTGGAGGAAGAGATTTCCAAGTAGTGCATACATGTATTTTTTTTTACCTGCATTTTTAATAATTGATCTGAAATTGGCTAAACAGCAACTTAGCAACTAAACAGCTAAACATACAAAACAATTCCCAAGAGCTGTAGGGA